TATATATATATATATATATATATATATATATATATATATATATATATATATATATATATATATATATATTTATTTATATATAATTGTGGCTTAATTGTGGCTCAGATCTGGCTAACAGGAGCGACCGCCCAAGTGCCATCATTCCATGCGGTATGTGAGCCGGAAGTAAGTGTCTGGTGTGAGCCAGATTTGAGCCACATTAATTTTGCCTTCTGTGAATTGTCTCTCTGAATATATGCAGAATGTTTTTAGGACATTGATATGTTCTCTGTTGCAGGTCTGGAATATATCCAGTCATCTCTGGCCTCTCAGCCTGTCAGTCCTGTTATCCTGCTGCTGCCATTTGTAGGGGGCTTCAGTCGCACCCTAAACACCGCCTGCCGGAAAATTGTTGAGTCTGGTGCAGTGCTTATTGCTGCAGCGGGAAACTATAACGATGATGCGTGTCTGTATTCACCTGCCTCAGAGCCAGAGGTATGACCTGAGCTCACAGTGTGTTGAGATGCATTGATAGTAGGGGTGTCAAAATTAATCGTTTCTTCGGTGCATCGCGATGCAGACGCGGACAATTCGGTATCGGTTCAGTAATAATCATAACCGGTTATTACTGACGTCATTTACCTCATATTCGCTCTGTCGCGAGGGAGGCAATCGCGAGTATTTACAACGCTTTAACTACTTAAAACTCATAAACTGTGCACAATTTTACTGTGTGTTTGCAGTCTTTCACTGACATATACAACAATAGCCCCTATTTCACTGAGATCGAGAGAATGAAAGTAGCCTTACTCCATTTCTCTCTTTCTCTCTCTCGCTTTCGCTCTGTCTCTGCCTTTCTCTCTTTCTCACACACACACACACACACACACCCAGTGGCCCATTTGACCTGCTGGCGTGGCTTTTCTTCTCCTCTCGGCTGTTTTACAGCATTACGTTTGGATCCAGAAACGAGCGCGTGTCTGCAGAGTTTTCTCCACCGTGTCTATCATGCATCAGCTGTGAGATCGCCGCTGCCCGCCTGCCGCTTATCAGTGTCACTTATCTGAAGAGAGCAGCGCGCAAGAGCCAATCGCAACCGTTTTTGTTGAGGGTGTGACCAATCAAAGAGGTGTAAGAGAACTAAACAAGATTCAGAAATTGAGCTGGATGTTTATATTTGTTTATATTATTTGCTTAATGCTCGTTTTGTTTAAAGTTACAGTTTGTATATCTGACTGTTTGTATTAAACGACAAAATTGTATTACAAATAATATATAAATATAAATATATTCATACATTTTAATACAAGAACTGCTGCTGTGAAGAAAATATAAAACTGTTTATGGAAAGCATCATCAATGCACCGTGATGCTCCGAAATATCGAATTGAACCGAATCGATGGCATGATAATCGTAACCGAACCGAACCGTGAGACTAGTGTAGGTTCACAGCTCTAATTGATAGACAACAAAATCAGAGGCGTTCTGTTAAAGTTAGATTGGCGGTTTTTGCATTTTAATTTAGCCAGTTATAACCAGGATTTCCTAAACAACTATTAAAATAATTGTATTAAAGTAATTGTTTTTAAATTATTGTAAAGCATAAAGCGTGTAGACTAGGGCTATTCAATTGGCGGCCCGCAGGCCGAACACGGCCCCCAAGGCAGTTTGTTACGGCCCTCCAAATAGTGTGAACAAGACATCAAAAATAAATTTTGTTTAGTCGAAAAACAGCCACTTAAGTTATGAAGTAACGTGCGTCTTTCTGTTCAATACAGCGCGAGCTGCAGAGGCTGCGCAGAGCGTGAGTCACCATTAGCGAGTGGTGCGGACAGCCGAAAACATTTAGATATGTTTTGTAGAAAATGCCTTTTGTACAATGCACTGTAATCGTTAGGGATAGCAATGATTAGCTGATTTCACTTTTAACTGCGCTTGAATTCGTCACAGTTAATGAATCGTAAAGGCTTCCCTAAGCCGCCTTTCTGTTGCACTAAAAAGTTATGACAAGTTGTCACCTGTGCGCTAGTTTAAAGTTCCAAATAGGCTATGTACACTGAGGCTAATACGCACGCACACCGGATTAACTGTACAGTAGCAGCGGCCGTACCCATATCACGTCTTTTCTGCTTGCAAGTTTATTATTGCTAATGTAAGTATGACAATATGTGCGCACAAGCGGAGCAACGCGCTTGTGTCTTTCCGGGCGCACGCAGTAGAAAACATCTCACGTTGAGAGTTGTAAGTGCCTTTCAGAGCAGTGTAAACAAAAGATATTTTAATATTAGACGAGCTAGTATTAAAATGATTATGTATGCATGAACACTGATGGCAACAACAGTTGATCTACATAGGTACTTATCGAATATAAAGCTTCAATTTACATTAGACATGATAACCGTGAAACCATAATTATTCTTCAGACTATATAATCGTACAACCAAAATCTATAATTGTTGCATCCCTAATTATTATGCAGTTCTTAACTTAACATATGAATGTGTCTGAATGTAGAAGAAGCCATACTTCAGCAATGCACTGCTTTAGTTGTGCTCTGAAATACAACATTTGAATGTTTGTAAAACGTAAATCTAAAAAATAAGTCAGTTGGACAATACAGTGATATTATGTTGTTTTAAAATACAATATATTCACATTTTAATGTAGAAAAAGCCAACATGGGTGTCTTTATGAGCACAAATACAGCATATGGGTTCTTATATGCAGTTGTGTCATCACTCATAAGTCATATCTCTCCGGCCCTTCGTTTGGGATGCTTTTCATGAACCGGCCCCCATGACAAACTAATTGAATAGCCCTGGTGTAGACAGAGCATTCACAGGCCAGGGATGGAAAACAGATATACAGCTCGGGCGCATGATATGTATTTCAGTGTAATTCAGAGATAAAGCAATTTACAATTTTAACAAATACTGACTTTTAAGTTAATTCTTCTGCGATTCTGTGATGTTTTCAAGTTTAGATTAAAATATTGCAGACTTGTGTTATGGCGGATTTTTATTATAGCTTGTGTTTAGGCAATCCCTGTAAAATGAGCTTGATATATTTGTTAATTTAATAGGTGTAAATTTCTGTCTAAAGGTAAAGCAAACTAGTATGCTTAAAGAGAGAGTTCACCCAAAAAGAAATCTGTACTCATTATTTACTATATTCATACATCTACTAGATTTCGTTGAACACAAAAGAAGATATTTGGAAGAATGTTTGAAACTGGCAACCATTTATTATAACCAAATGCTATGAAAGTTGGTATTCAAAATTATTCAAATATCATATTTTGTGTTTAACAGAAAAAAAAGAAACAAAGGCAGGGAGAGTGAATGATGACATGAATTTACATTTTTAGGTGAACTATCATTTTAATAGGCTTCAGTCAACATACTTGAAACATCTGTTGATTTTTTTTTTTACATTTTTGTGAATTATTTGGTTGTTTATACATTAATGGCACCTTTGACAGACAGCGTTGTTATTGATGCTTGAAATACTAGAAGAAAATCTTAAATATTGAATCAGGGGGCAGAAGCGTTTTTATGATAGTATATACTAGGGCTATTCAATTAGTTTGTCATGGGGGCCGGTTTATGAAAAGCATCCCAAACGAAGGGCCAGAGAGATGACCTGCTATACAAGTGATAACACAACTGCATATTAGAGCCCATGCTGAATTTTTGCTCTTTAAAGGGCAATGAAACCCCCCACTTTCGGTTCAGGTCTACCTCAGATTTTTTTCAAAAGATGCATCATAATGGGCATGAAGCTCCGCGATCAGAGGCAGGAGTGGGCGTGGCCAGCAGAGCAGGGGAGAAGAAGGGAAGCGGACAGCTGTTGTCAGTTAGCTCACAAAATGAGACACAAACCATGAGGAGGCGCATGATTTTATAGTTTACAAAGTTAAAATGCAAAGAAATAAACTGTAATTTAATGCCCTGCTACATTTGTTATGCATAATTTCCATATACAGATAACCACAATTTATATCATTATAAAAATAATCGTGTTTATATAAACACTAAATGAGGACTTCTCCCTTAATCCCCTGGTCTGAATGCAGACTCAGTGCAGCAGGTCTTTTCCCTTGTCTATTTTAACCATTAGCTCTGCAGGTAATCTGGAGGACTTAAGCCTGATTTATACTTCTGCGTCAAGTGACTGGCGTAACCCACGGCGCATGCAACGCGCGTGGCTGTGCATTTATACTTCTGCGCGCTGTCTCTGTTGGTCTGCATTAACACCTCCGAAAATGCTAGTTGGCAGTGAGGTGTAAATGTTCCTCTGTGCCGAGTTTCTTCACTGTTGTTTTGCTTTTCCTGAAACTTCCGGGATGTACAAGTGGCTCAAACTCGCTCATTTTGTGGCAGCAACCGACGGACGTGCAGCAACTTTAACTATGAGGTAAACACAAAACAAAACTTTCCATCCGGAGCTCCTTCACGGGACTCCACACTTGTAAACAATCGCTACATTGGGTTCGCGCCATTCGCGCGGCTCTCGGTCCCGCCCCGACTTGTCAGCGCTACCAAGCCGACCAATCACAGAGCTTGGGCTACGCGTTGTTGCGACGTGTAGTTACATTTTTTGAGAGGTGCACGTCAGTGACGGCCACGGCCACGGCGAAGGGCTATGCGTCAGCGCCGTAGCATATGCCGGTGTTTGACGCAGAAGTATAAATCAGCCTTTAGGCAAACACAGCAGCACAACAATATGTTTAAATGTGAATAGACTCCTGATAAAAGACAACGTTCGCCATTTTCCAATTCTCATACTGCTTTCCTGACAAAAATGCTTGCTGCACACAAACAGTGTTGTATCGGCCCTGACAGCATCGCAGGAAAAAACATGCAACAAACCCCATGGATTATTACCCAGTCATCAAGGTAGGATCTCACAGCTTGGCATTAGGAGGTCTGCCTTGCTTCCGAAAAGCCTGTGCAGTCATGAATAATTAAGAAGCTGGCTCTTCTCATAGGATAATAAAACTCCGCTATGAATAATAATGAGAAACTAACGCGTCATCTTTGCACTTGCAGTTTTGCGCCAAGTCACCGATTTTGATCCCGCCCCAAAAATAATTTTTAACCCGGAAGATGAAATTAGCTGACAAAAGCGCAAAATTATCTACACAAATTTTCCCCACAATTAAAGTTGTTAAAATCTTTAAAAAAAGTACTTGAGGGTTTTGTGAACCTTTAAGACATCCACTTTGGCTTTTTCTACATTAAAGATTTAATATATTGTACTTTGATACTACATAACATCAATTCATTGCACAATAGACTTTTTTTTCTGCAAATATTCAAATGTTGTGTTTCAGAGCACAACAAAAGCAGTGCATTGCTGAAGTAGGCTTCTTCTACATTCAGACACATTCATATGTTATGTTTTAAATTGCAAAACAGTTAGGGATGCAACGATTATAGATTTTGGTTGTACGATTATATAGTCTGTAGAATGCTCATGGTGTCATGATTATCAGGTCTAAATGTAAATGTAATGTAAATTCAAGCTATATAGGAAATATATTAGGACAGTAGCTATTTAGTTTAACTGTTGATGCCATCTGCGTTCATACATACATAATCATTTTAATAATAATTAATCTAACATATCTTTTGTTTACATTGCACTGAAAGGCACAAACAACTCTGACCATAAGATGTTTTCTACTGCGTGTATCCGGAAAGCAGCAAACACTTTACTCCGCTTGTGCGCGCATATTGCATATATTCTTGCATTAGAGAAGATAGATAACTTGCAAGCGGAAAAGACGTGATATGGGAACGACTGCTGCTATAGTTAATCAGGTGTGGGTGTGTATTAGCCTCGGTGTTAATGCATGGAACTTTAAACTAGCGCACAGTTGGCAACTTGCCATACTGTAACTTTGTTTAATTGCAGCAGTTTATTTTTGTTCTGTACAACAGAAATGCGGCCTAGAGAAGCCTTTATGATTAATTAACTGTGATGAATTAAAGCGCAGTTGATAGTGAAATCATTGCATCACTATTGACGATGTCAATGCATAGTACAAAAGGCCCTTTCTACAAACAGATCCAAATGTCTTTGGCTGCCCGCAGCATTCGCTTATGGTGACTCATGCTCCGCACAGCCTTTAACTGCAGCTTGTGCTGTATTAAACAGACGCATGTCACTTCATAACTATAGCGGCCATTTTTCGACTGAACAAATTTTATTTTTGATGTCTTGGTCACAGTATTTGGAGGGCCAGAACAAATTGACTCGGGGGCTGGGTTCGGTTCACGGACCGCCAATTGAATAGTCCTGGTGTATACAGTATGAGGGGAACTCACTTCAGAGAAGTTTGGTAATTTTTGTTTAGATGAACTCTGTGTAATGCATAAATGTTAAACACTAGCACAGCTGCTCTGTTTTCATCAATAGCTATATGGACACAGCTATTCCTGCTGTTCTGTAAGGGCAACCACCTGGCGTGAATAAGGATTTTATTCAGCTTGTCCGCTGTTTTTCTTTCATGCAGATGTTTTTGTGTTCTCTACACTGTAAAAAATCTTGCTGCCTAAAATATTTTAGTTGATTCAAATAAACTTTTCTAGTCATCTCAACTCACATCAGTCAAACTGACTAAAACATTAAGTTGAACTTTGTATAACTAAAAATATGTAGTTGAAACCTGATTAACCCATTAAATTAGTTTAAGTTACCTAAAAACATTTGTTGTTATGACTTTTTGTCATGTTTTTACAGTGGAGCATACTTTCAGAAAACTAAAGTGTTTAATTAATATATTGGAAATTTACAATCTAATTTAACTATATTTAATTTAATATTAAGGAAATGTAAATGAGCAATATCACACGAGTAGCAGTGCAATGTGGCTGTGTATTGGCACTTATTGGCACTGTGTGTTGGCACGAAGCCTTAGGCATAAGACAATTCGATAGTATAATCAAAATGCAACAGCATAAAAGTGTGTATAAAAAAGAAAATTAAACAAAGAGAGTCTCAAGAGATCACAATATTACCATGATATAAATACACCACTACAACATACAAAAGAGAGATCAATTTAAAAAGTCATTTACCTGTTTAATAATGATTTGATCAGCTGTAGTTTAAAATAAGCAGTTTTTCTCGTAGCATTAATAATGCGATCTCTTTCGCCTACTTGTAGATGAAAATCGTCAACCGCAGAGGCATTGCTAGACATAAAGCTCCACTGGGGCTCAGCTCCCCCTAAAAAAATTTTTTATTAAATTAAATAATTATTTGATCGATCATCATCATAAAAATGAAAAAAAAAAAAAACAAAAAAATGTTTTAAATTAAAAACTGTTGCCTGTAGGCAAATAACAAACTGGCCAGCTCATTCCCTCAGTCAGAATTTGTCCATTTGAATAATAAAAGCCTTCTGTTATTGGTTTTTCTTTCATAAAGCCTTTTTCTATTGTTTTTTTTTATTTATTTTATTTTAATATTTTTTTTTTTTTACAATTTATGATAGCATACTGTCTAAAATGGGACAATTGAGCTCATATAGGGGTCAAATTCTGGACTTTGTCAGAAGGGGGTGGGTCTTTCTTATATATATATATATATATATATATATATATATATATATATATATATATA